ATTGCCTGGTATGGCAACTGCTCTGCCCAAGACTGTAAGAAACTACAGAAGGTGGTGTGCGCAGCGCAGATCATCACAGAAGCCAACCTTCCACTCATCGACTCCATTTACACCTCTCGTTGCTGTGGAAAGGCTGCCAGCATCATCAAAGATCCCTCCCACATACTCTCAAAACCACTTCCGTCAAATAGAAGATACAGAAGCTTAAACACACTCACCAACATGTTCAAGAACAGCTTCTTCCCTGCTGTTATTAGACTGATGAATTAGACTCTCTAACTTCAAATAATATTGATCTTGTTAATGTTTATCTTGCTTCGCGCATCAACTGTACAGTGTAATATGTATGCCTCACTGTCTCAGCGCTCTATGCTCTGTATGTCCTTGCTTACTATGATCTGCCTGTACTTCTCGCAAACAGAGCGTTTCACTGTACTGACATACATGTGACCACAATAAATCAAATCAAATCAAATCACGAGCATTACCAGTGCTGAAACCCCACATCAACATCTTGGGTGTTACCATTGACTAAGGATTGAACTGGATCAGCCATACAAATGCAGTGGTTACAAGATCAAGTCAGAAGCTGGGAATTCTGTAGAAAGTCACTCGGTTCTTCACTTCTCAAAGCCTGACCACTATTAAGGCCCAAGTCAGGAATGTGCTGGAATACCTACCACTTGCCTGTATGAATACACCTTCAATGACACTCAAGAAGCTCGGCACCATCCAGGTAAAGCAATCCACTTAATTGACGCTACATCAAATATCTTCAACATGCACTCCACCCAACATCAATGCTGCTACAAGATGCACTACAAGCTCATCAAGATATCTTAGATAACATCTTGAAACCCACAACTTCTACTACCTTGAGGAACAGCAGATGCATGAGAACATTTCCAGCTGCAGTATCCCCTCCAAGCCACAAATCATCCTGACTTGGAGCTATAGCATTGTTCCTTCTATGTCACTGGATTAAAATCCTGGATCTCTCTCCCTAACAGCCTTAACTGGACCAATCAAGTGCAATCAGTGATTGGCAACTAATTCCGGCCCAATCAGTAACATCCATATTCCACGAACAAATAAGCAGTCTCTAGCCATTTCTCAGCAGCATAATTGAACAAAATATGACGCCAAATCACATAAGGATCACACCCCTATTCTTCTCAACTCCAGTGATATAATCCAAAATGATCCAGTTTCTCTCCATATGTTAGACTTGGCATCCCAGGAATCAGTCTGGTCTTCATCAGGGTATCTACTTGGGAGTTTAAGATGATTAAACGATTGCCAGGGATTATTTCCTCTGATGAGAAAGTCCACAAAAAAGGCATAACCTTCAAATTAGAGATAAGCCATTGAGAAGTGATGTCAGGAAGCATTCCTTCACAAAAAAAGTTAGTATAACTCTGAACTCCCTCCCCCAAAAAGCTGAGGTCCAACGAACATTAGAAAACTGGAAGTGGTGATTTTTAATAGGTAAGCATTTTAAGGAATCTAGTCAAGAAAAGAAGTAAAGAGGGCAAGTGACCAAATCCACTGGTGAACAAAGTAGGTTTAAGGATTGTCTTAAAGGTGGAGAGGATATAACTCATTGGTTAGATTAAGTTACAAGCTAGTTTATGATTGTAGTGAAAATGGACTATCAGTATTCAATTTTCATCATTTGACTTTAATATCTTAGAATTTTATGGACTAAAGATATTTTAAAAAGGAAACTGCTAACTGTGATTATCTGAACTGCTAAGTCAATCTCCATGGAGTATAAAAAAATGGAATTATCATTTTAATCAAGAGCCAGTAAAACTCAGCAAGGCATCAAGAAATTAGGATCTCTTGGTTTACTCACACTTGCATTATAACTGTACATAGAGAGATGAAAGATTGTCTGAAATATCCAGTTTGAATTGACACAGCAAGACATCAGAACCTGCAAAAGAATGGCATAGCTGCCTTTGAGCAAAGAAAGAGAAAATAACATGGTTTGATAACAGCAAGGGGACTGGAAGCTCACCTCCCTCTCTCTATCAGTCTCAGTCTCAGTCACAGGAACCAGGGCTGTTGACAAAACAACTTTGGAAAAAAAGTTAGTGTTCATTGAGAACTGAAGATTTGCAAACTTCACCACTGCTAAAAAATGGGACAACAGCTAAACTGTTAGACTCAGGCTGTAGTGATTGGAACCAGGTTGACCTCATTACCTATGAGGTTCTTGAATCTCCTCAGTTGAGGACTGACTCCGAGCTGGCTAGCCACAGCCAGTGTACAGTGCACTAGTAAATAAAGGGTGACTTGGTGATGGGACCCGGCCCCTCTGCAATTATTTCAGTGGCGATGGGAGAAAACAGGACATACCTGAAGAACATTCGCTTGCAAGTATCATCGTGGAGTTGGGGGTAAGTATTTCTGGCATCATGCTTCTATTTGGTAAGCTTGATTTATTTGACTTTGCTGTCAAAGACTGGGCCCAGTATGTGGAAAGAATGTGATATTTTTTCCTGGCAAATGACATTGGGGCAAATGAAAAGCAACGTGTAATCCTTCTGCCTGCGTGCCGTCCAGCAGCATTTTCGGTTATATGGGGCTTAACTTTCCCAGAGGCACCAGACATTAAAACCTTCCAAGAGTTGACAGAGTTGGTGAAGGAATATCATGACTCCAAACCTCTTCAAATCCTGAGACACTACCAGTTTTATTCGGCTGTAAAGAACCAGGGGAATCCACATCAAGACTTTTGATGAAGTTACGACGACTGGCAGAGGCATGTGATTTTGAGATAACCCTGAATGAGATGCTGAGAGACCATTTGGTATGTGGCATTAATGACATAGCCATGCAGAAGCACCTATTAGCTGAAACACAGCTGGACTTCTAACAGGCACTGCAGCTGGCCTTGTCATTAGAAAATGCAGCAAGTGGAGCATGGGAACTACAGGGCATCCCAATGGAAGTGGACAACCTCACCTGTCTGTCCAACTGAGCTTGGGGAACACCATGTGAGTGTAGGCAATCGCAGAGCCTCACGCAAGGCGTGTCCTGAGCAGAGGGACCCTAGGCCAACCTACAGCAGAATCCCACAACAAGTGGGGCCAAGTGGCTAAACAGTTCTTCAGGATCTGGGCCAACAAGCTATTGTAGTTGCTGCCAGTACACGGACTTGAGACAGCAAAGGAGCCTGAAAAGGCCTGACTTGAGAAGGAAAATGCAGAGGCTGGTGCCCAGGAGAGTGCACACCCTGGAAAGTTCCCCTACATGCGGGTTGGAACAATTAAATTGCTTAGAGACACCCAAATCAGAGCCAATTAAAATTAATGTTTGGTTAAATGATCACACAGTTCCCATGAAGGTCGATATTGGCGCAGCTGTATCTGTGGTTGCAGAATTTGTCTTTAACAAGATTTGTTCAGGACTCCAACCTTTAAGCTTAAGCAAGACCTCAGTCAGACTGAGTATACAACACTGGGGAACTGTTACAAATTAAGGGTACAATTTCAGTTCTGGTCTCCTTTGAGAAACCGTTAATGCAGTTACCAGTGATTATAGTAAGAGGCTCGGGCCCAAGCCTATAGGGACAGAATTGGTTGAGAAAGATTCAGCTTGATCGGCTCAGCATTTTTCAATTAGAAAATGGCTGCCTCAGTGAAGTCCTAGTGAAATATCCAGGAGCTTTTCAAGAAGGACTTGAGACTATCAAAAGGACCAAAACCACTTTACACGTTGACCAGGACACAATTCGAGATTTTGCAAGGCCTGCCTGGTGCCATTTGCCTTGCAGGCAAAAGTAGAGGCGGAGATCAAAAGCCTGGAGATCGAAGGAATTATCAAACCAGTGCAGTTTGCAGAATGGGCAGCACCGGCCGTAGTGATTGTGAAGCCTGATGGCTCGTTTCACCTTTGTGGTGATTTTAAGCAAACAGTAAACCGCTTCTCACAGTTGGATAAATACCGGATTCCTTGCATAGAGGACTTGCACGCAAAGTTGTTGGTTGAGGGGTGGGGGGTGCTATCCTTTATGAAGCTGGACATGAGCCACACCTACCTGCAATTGCAACTGGATGAGGAGTCCCAGAAGTACGCAACAATTAATACCCGTAAGGGTTTATACCAATATACCAGGCTGCCATTTGGGGTATCATCAGCCTGAGCTATTTTCCAGCAGACCATGGAGAACATTTAACAATGACTACCGCAGATTGCCATTTATCTGGATCACATATTAATAACAGGGAAGACTAATAAAGAGTACTTGGAAAACTTGGACATAGTACTTAAACGGTTCTCCAGGCGGGTATACACCTTAGACGGGAAAAACGTGTGTTCCAGGCACCCCAAGTAACCTACTTGGGTTACAGGGTTGACAAAACCCGGATACACCTGTTGGAAGAGTAAGTGAGGGCGATCAAAGAGGTCCTGTTTCCCCCCCCGACCCCCTACTGACAGATACTCCACCAGTGGTTCCTCCCCTGGAAGAGTCTGTTTGGGTTTTGAACTTCCCGGACACCCTTCCAGTCACCACGGACAATATCCAACTGGACACAAAAAGATCTTGTCCTAGCAAAACTGAAACAGCTGGTGGTAATGGGGGAAACAGAAGGGCGATTGCAACCAGGATTGAAACCTTTTTGGACCCGACGAGACCTGATCACTCTAGAAGACGGCACATAACTGTGGGCAGCAAGGGTGATTGTCCCAAGTAAAGGTCACTGCCAGATACTAGTCGAACTCCACCAGGGTTATCCAGGGGTTTCCAAGATGAAGATGCTAGCAAGAAACTATGTCTGGTGGCCAGGGATGGATGCTGACATAACTGTTGGTGGTGTAGAATCCAGAGTGCCGACAAGGACACATTACCACCAGCCACATCCCCACATTCATGGGAATGTCCAGGTCAACCCTGTGCCGGTCCATTCGTGAGCTCAATGTTCCTGGTCATTATGGATGCCCATTCAAAGTGGTTGGATGTGCATAAAGTTCGTTCAGCCAATTCAGGGATGACGATTGAGAACCTGCGAGTATCATTCACGATACACGGGCTCCTGGAAGTATTGGTCATGGTCAATGGAACGTCATTTACCAGCAGGGAATTCAAATACTTCCTAAAGTCCAAAGGTATTCAGCACATAAGGACAGGTCTATACTATCTGTTATTCCAATGGTCTAGCGGGAAGAGTGGTTCAAACGTTGAATGCAGGCTTAAAGAAGCAGCCTACAGTATCATTTGAGACCAAACTGTTCTGGTTCTTATTCGATTATAGGACCACCCTACACGTGACAACAGGGATAGCTCCAATGGCGTTGCTGATCGGGAGAAGACTCTGCACCAAGTTCAACCTGATATTTCCAGACCTGGGGGAGGGGGGGGTGTGAAACGGCAGCAGGAATGCCAGTGCCGGCCAAATGCTTTCTCTAAGGGGAGAGAGTGAGAGAGAGATACTTTGATTCAGGGAACGAAGTTTGGTGCTGAAACCATGGAAATGGCCTTGTATGGGTACGAGGCAAGGTAGACACGAGGTCAGGTCCTGTGACTTACAAAGTTCGGGCAAGTGATACAGTCCAGAACAAACACGTGGATCACCTGAAATCCATTACCTCACAAACAGGGCAGGAGCAAAACATACCTGGCCCCTCAGAACAGCCAGAAGGTCTGTCAGAAAGCTCAGGTGCTCCCCCTCCGTCTACTGTCGAGGAAACCTCAAACTCCACTCAAGATAAACTTTGGAATTATCTCTCCGTTTTTGATCTGGTTGACTAAGTTTAATTGAAGTGCAATAGGTACAAACTACTGAAGAAAAAACATTGCAACTGACTGAAAGGGAGTTAAACAGATGGATTGTCCTTCCTCACTTGATCGTAACACTAATACTATATCAAATGGTTTGAGCAGTTTATTAATGTCACCTGAACCTTTGGATATATCACTGTCTTGCAACAAACTTTGTCTTAGCTTTATTGATTATTTTATTAATCTGTATAATGTATGAAAAAAAATTATTGCTGTTAGAGATTTTGTTAGCATGGCAATCTCTTTGGAGACACTCAATACCTTGCCAGAACATAGCCTGATTGGCTGAATGTCCTTCCTGGACGATCACAATGTCAAAATAAATAATTTGCATTTTTTTTTACTCATGATTTACTGTTTAAATTAATTTCTGGAAGCCCTCCAATTAGATTTAAAAGCCTGGAGCATTTATATTAGGTGTGAAAGCTGGAATAACTTCCACTAGTTGTTGCAGACCCAAAAAAAATGCGATATTCCAATGCTGGCAGGTTGTACTGAGAGGCCAGAAGTAATAGCACAGCATGTGTGCCCATAGTTAGAGATGCAGGAGGGAGGTGGGACAGTCATGAAATTCGTGGATATGTTACATGCAGAAATGCAGTACATATTTGTATAGAGCAATCACCTGGAAAGGGATGTGGATACCCTTGTAATTCAGAAAATAAATTGTTAAGAAATAGTACTTTATTATGATAGGATTTTCAATGTTGAATTTCAACATTACTGTAAGACAACAAACTTACAAAATATTGACAAATCATTTTTAATTCATCAGGAAGAATATAAGACAGTGCAAAACTGGAAATGAGTGAAAATAATTTGATGCATTAAACCTATGATATTTTTAAATAGTGAATCAAAGTGGAAAATATTATTTCTATGCAGCTAATGATGTTTCTGTTTCAACAGTCAAAATAATAGCAGACTGTCCTGATCACGGAGACACCAATTATCCAGTTGATAATGACAAGTTAGAATAGCTGTAATGTGTATTCAATTGGAAAATGCTTATTTGAGTGAATATGTTTTTGCCACCTTGTTTATCTCCTTTAAAACATTCAATGTTTTGGCATCAACTGCTTTCTGAGGCAGAGTTCTACAGGTTTATCACCCTGTACGTCAAGAAATTATTCCTCATCTATCTTAAGTCGCCTAACCCCACATCTTTAGACTGTGACCTGTGGTTCTGGGCTCCCCAGTTATCGGGGACATTCTTCCTGCATCTATCTGGTTTAGCCCATTTAGAATTTTATAGATTTCTATGAGATACACACTTATTCCTCTAAACTCCAGTGATATAGTCCAAAATGTTCCAGTCTCCCTCCATATGTTAGACTTGGTATTCCAGGAATCAGTCTGGTCTTCATCAGGAAAGTTATTGAACTTTAAATGAATTAAATTATGAGGACAGATGTATAATTTAGACTTTTATTTCCTCAAGTATAGAAGGTTAAAGGGCTATCTATATGGGTGTTTAAGATGATTAGAGGATTTCCAGGGATTATTTTGTCTGATGGAAAAGTCCACAAAAAGATATAGCCTTCAAAGTATAGCTAAGCCATTGAGAAGTGATGTCAGGAAGTGTTCCTTCACAAAATAAATATCAGTATAAATCTGCAACATTCTTCCCCAAAAGCTTTTGAAGCTCAGGTCAAATGAACATTAGAAAACTGGAATTGGTGATTTTTGAGAGGGCCATATATTAAGGAATCACGTCTGGAAGTTGAAGTTAAGATGTAGTCAGCCTTGATTCAATCGAATAACAACTTGGGCTTGAGGGACTAAATGGTCTCTTCCTGCACTAATGATTTTTATGGGTACCATTTGTTTGGAAATTTAATATTAAATTTCACAATATATACACAATTAATGAGAAATGTTTAATTGTGGATGAAATTACTCTTAAATCAGTATGTGACTGTCTTGGTTTTTTCTGGAATTAACTTGTCAACAAACTTGCAGAATGCACTACTTTGAAATATTTTTATGTCTGAAATGAAATTCTGTGGGAAGGCCACTCATTACAATGAGAAACCTTAGTATATTTTTAATCAAAAGAAAAATTTCATCCATTATTTCTTATATCTGTAATATTCATGGGTGTTTTAGAGTTGAGCACCATAGGAATACCGATCATTAAGTACACTGTTGCATTAAACAGTTTTGTAAGTAATGGGAGTAATAGGGGCTAGAATGTATCTGTCCTGTGTTAGAGAACCCTATCTGTATTATGCTCTGGATTGTCTGTGTCTTAAAGCCATACACAATAAAGTAGCATGACTACTGACTATTACTACTTTACGCTGCATTAATACTGCATTATTGATCACTGGCCAGTAGCTGTGGAAAGAAAACTAAGTAGGCAAGACAAGAGTTATAGCATTGTGTAAATGCAATGCCTTGTATCCTCTTGTATAGTGGAGTATGTTTCCCAATAAATTATTCTTAATATTACAGAGCTGATGGAAGTAATTTATTTCTTATAATACAAAAACAATATTAAGTTCATAATGAGATCTGAAGATGGACTTGCTGGGTCATTCCTTAAACCTGGTTTCATTTGGACTTAGAAATCAGTCTAAGTTCAAGCCCAAGCAATGACAATAACAGGTAAATAGTCATGCATTGAACTCCACTCAAGAAGTAGGCAACATTTTCTTCTAACAATCCTGTGTTGTGCTGAGAAAGTGCTGCATTATTGAAGATACTATTCTTGCAATGAAATGTCAAACTGAAGCTTTGTTTGCCAATTCCAGTGGATATTAAAGATCAAAAAGCACATTTTAAATAACAACCAATATTCTTTCTTCAACACCACTGAAAATAAATTAGATGATCAGTCATCTTTGCCAATTCTGGATCTTACAGTCTTTGCCTGTAGCTCAGCAATCAATGTACCATCATTTGATTTGATTTGATTTGATTTATTACTGTCATGTGTGCTGAGGTACTGTGAAAAGTGTTTCTTACGTGCTTTAAAGCAGATCGTACTATACAACTGCATCAGAGTAACAGAACAGAGTGCAGGATAGTGTTACGGCAGCCAAGAAGGTGCAGAGAGAGATCAACAGTCACATTTAAGAGGTCCATTCAAAAGTCTGCTAACAGCGGGGAAGAAACTATTCCGGAATCTGTTTGTACGTGTATTCAAACTTTTACATCTTTTATAACTTAAATACAGTAGACTTGTAAATGTAGTTGGCGTGGAATTTGGCTGAGTATGCAACCTTGCAGGACACGGGTATTGAGGATTATTGTAGAGGAGACGTTGTTGCCTGTTCTTACTGACTGCGGTCTGTTGGTCAGGAAGTCAAGAATCCGGTTATAGAGGGGGTAGCAGAAATCTAGGTGCTGGAGTTTGGAGATGGGTTTGTTTGGAATAACGATGTTGAAGGCAAAGCTGCAGTCAATAGGTAGGAGTGTGATGTAGGTATCCTTGTTGTCCAGATGTTCCAGGTATGAGTGTAGGGCCAGGGAGATGGCATTTGCCATGGGTCTGTTGCATCGGTAGGTGAATTGCAAGAGATCAAGGCAATCTGGGAGGCTGGAGTTGATGTGAGCCATGACTAACC